TCTTTGTTTTTTTCTTCTGACACAAACCCTTCAGTTGTACTCGCGACAATCAAACATTTCTAGATGACATACATCGAAGCCGTGTGGGGACTGGTGATAGCGAACTCGCTGATTTTTATTTTCTGTTTGACTCTGCAAAAGTGGCATGCACTACAGATTTTCCGTTAAATTCAAAAATAGCGACTATCTTGTTACTCGAGGAGGCATGCGTGTTCGTTTTACAGACTTGACAGTGTTCCGGTACTCGCGAGCACATGGCTATCGTGGATTTCTTTTTAGCGATTGTAGTGTGACAAACACCAAGTGCCTGCGTATGACCTCGAGCCACAGAGTTTCTAACGCAGAGCTGGAAAGGACCACGTCCATGATTGTTTTCCTGTGGAAGTTTTGTCCATGTAAAAATCAGTAATACGCATATATTACCCTCTAAAAAATTTTAATTTGCTTTAAAGTAGAAAAGAGTGCACATAGCAGGTTGGGTGATGGGTAAATTTGGAGCGTTATGTTACGCTAATTCATTCATTTGCATACTAGCTCTCCGCCTAGGGTTTCCTCGACCACAGCCATGCTGTTACAGAATTTTGAACTGGCAGATCTTTTTATTACCAGCTTCCAAAAAACCAATAGTTTTTGTAGCTGCCGCTATAACAGCACACAATAATTTCATTCGTTCAGGAAGCTGTGAGAACAGGTTTATTCTGTACAAAGGGTGGGTTACCGTGAGTTGGCTGTTTCCTTTTAACAGAGCCAAGAGTCCGTTCCCGGAGAACATCAGTCGCGGTGTCTTGTTTACGCGGGAGTGAATGTCTGTGTCAGCAGGAGGGGGTGACTTGCTGAGTGCTGGTCATGTGATTGGACGGGTTAGGGGAGGAATAGGGGACGCATACTCCCAAGGGCTCACGGGTATCAAACCAGGGCGTCCGACACGCGTGAGGTGATGAAAGTTTGTGAGGGCAGCCGGGAGTAACTTCAGCTGGACCGGGAGTACCCCAGTTTTAGCTGGCCGGAGTGGCCGTGTGTCAACGGTTGTCGCGGTAATCGACCTAAAAACGGAGCCGGAGAAGGGGGGACTGGAGCGGCCGCTGCACTTTATAGCGTGAAAACAGTTTAAAATACTTCGCATGTAGACAGTTATTACTGTTCGGCTGTTACCGTCATAGGTACTTGTGATAACCTTCAGTTAGAAGCGTTTGGCTTGTGGTGTAGGAAGCGATACTGGACTA